TTAAAAAGAGCTGAACACTACAATTTTTCATTTATAATCGAAAATATCTTTTATAATTCAAAAAGTAGTAATATTTTATTAGTGAAATTTATTAATCTAAACATTTAAACGTCTAAACATTCAAACTTTTTCATAATTTACGCAAGAAACATCTTCCGTTTTTTGAAAGAGAATCTTGCTGTTTGCCCACCCGAAGTCTTATCATTATCTTTGTCATCAATAAACTACAAACTAACTGCCAAAGCAGAAGTTCCAAAATTTATTGACAGCAAAGAATTACAAAAAAAAAGTAATAAAATATTTAAAAACCCTACCTATTCGAAAACTCTAATAGAAAATCCTACCTAAGAGAAATTCTATCTAACAGAAAAGCCTACCTAATAAAAAATTCTATATCGAGGAGTTCGTAAAAAATCTTAAATCGATAAGGTTTAATAAGATTGAACGAGTTTTTCGCGGAATCGTTTGAAAGTTTGTCGCGGAACCGTTAGGGAATTTTTCAGGATGCTAGCGCAGAGCTCAGCTCAGTTTCCGCTATTTGCATCGAAAATCCGAGAGCAATTGTCTCGATGTTTTTCGCAGGACGCTAGCGCAGAGCTCGGCTCAGTTTCCGCTAGTTGCGTCCGAAATTTGTATTGATAGTCGACCATTGTTCAATGTTCGATCATATCAATGTTTCGAGATCCGTGCTCGACCATCATCAATGGGACCACAAATTTCGAAAGTCCATGCTCAACCATGGGATCAACACTGGAACTACCGACGATTAACATATATACCAACTTCTATTTCTTTTTTCATTTTTTATAAAAAGTAATAAAGAGAAAAAGTACATTAATCAATTAAATTATTTAACACAATGCAACAAGTCACAGAAAAAAATTTCAACAAATACATTATAAATTTAAATAATTATTCTAAAAAGAATAAACCGGTCATTTTGACCGCTTTGGTAATTTTAGTGTTAAGCCATAGGACCACGGATGCATGGGTAGGCTAGGAAAGATTGCGAAGAAATTGACGTATAGCAAGAATAAATATATATTTCAAAATTGTAAATAAATTGTTAATAAAAAATGCATTCCTTTTTTATTAAATAAATTATTTCAAATATATCATAATTTATTAATATATTTACGTTTGTGTAAAAGAATTTTCTTTTTCATTTTTAATTTAAATTTGTGATACATTTGTGGTACATATGTATTTAAAAATTTTCTTACTTTTGCTTTTCAACGCCAATTTATAATATTTAATCCTGGAAAGATATAAAAAAATAAACCACTTACCGTAGGGAAGGAAGAAATGAAAGTACACATTT